ATTGATATATCGGTTTGAGTAAAGCAGTGGATCAATCAATAATGAAACCAGTACGAATCGCTGATATTTTGACCAAAATCGGTGACTCGACCGGTTCATATGAAAAAATTAATAAAATGCTTATAAATTTAAGAAGACCATTTTAGTCTTTTTTTTTTTTTTTAATTTAAGAAGCTTATAAAATAAAGATAAATTTATAATTAACAGGATAAATTAATGAATCGTCAAGATTTCATCTAAATTTCATTTGTAATAGAAGTTAAATGTTTGAAAACATGTCAAGTATTGTGTATTTCGTTGTTTGTTGGATAATAATGTGTGATTTATTATTTTTTTTCATGTTAAATATTTGGAACTGATATTATTTTTTACATGTTTTGAGTATGTTTATAATTTTTTAATATAAATTATAGAATTGCATATATTTACCGAGTCATGCGATTCTAATTCAACCATCAATCGAGTCACTAACCGGGTCAAGTTTAATAAGTGGTGATATGTTATGGATGCATACCATTTATTTCAAAAGCTTATTCGTTTCTAGTTGAGAACATAATGGGTAAGGCCATTGTTTATAGAATTTTTATTGCAGAAATTGAACTCCAGTCCTTTCTCCAAGATATACAAGTCGCTATTAGGGATAGGAATGTGTAAAATAACCAAAAAATTGAACCGAACCATGAACCGAACCTTAAAATAACCGATTTTTAAAAATTGGTTCATTAACCGAACCGATTTTAGAACCAGTTTAAGAACTGAACCGAACCATTTTCAAACCGAACCAAATTGATTTTTATAACTTTATTTTTTAAATTTTAATTTTTTTTTCAAAAGAGGATCGACCCGAACCGGTTCTGAACCGAACCGAACCAATTCCGAACTGAACGGAACCACTTTCGAACCGAACCATTTAAACCAATTCGGTTTGATTTTTCAAAAAATTCGGTTCGGTTCGACCCATGCACATCCCTAATTAGGGATGTGTTTTGATCAATTCATTCAAAATCCAAATCACAATGATTTAATGTTTGAATTTATCCATAACTTGAGTTTTATTAATTAATTATATTTTAGTATTCTAAAATAAGGTTAAAAACACTTCTCATGTTATATGAGAAGAATATCTTCTCCTACACACAATAAACATGTGGGTCCTATTGAAAAGAGGAAAGAGAAAAAAAAAACCACATATGTTTTGTGTGTGTAGAATAAAATATTATTCCTATATAACATGAGAAATCTTTAACCCTTTAAAATATTCAGGTTAATGAAATATTCTGATTCCGTTAATTATTTAATTAAGCTTGTTATGATTATATTGTATTTTTGGATTGAGGATATCTGATTAGAATGAGCCTAGTTGGGAAGTAAGTAATGAAGGCTTTAATGTGACATTAATTTTAATTATGGGTGGATTCAATAAATACAAATTCTTTTTATTAGAGATTTTTGACAAAGTCCTCTCTCTAGTCTAGGCATCAAGTTTTCTCATTACTCAAAGATGTTTGGTAGAAGGATTTTATTGTTTTGCATGGGAAAGTGGGGGTGGTATTTAAAGAATGCCATGTTTGGTAGGGGTTTGCAATAAATTTTCCTTGGAAACTTACTTGCTTGGATTAGAGGTTTAAATTCTGTCTCAAGCAAATTTTTGGAAAATCTTTGGGGGCCAGATGATGTGTCTCTCTCCTCGAAGGGGGGATTGCCAGATTAGTCTTATCCTTCCTCCGGTGACGAAACTTAATGCACCCGTTGTTTCAATAAGGGGTAGCCTTCGAGCCGTACTCTGAGGACAAGGTGACCGGAGGAGGTTAAATGGGGATACTCTTTAGGTTACTCTGAAACACGGACTCGTGTATTTCTGTGAATTGTGTGTGTTGGACACATGTCCGACACGAACACGCTCCGACATGGACCCGCTCCGACACGCTCTGACACGCGGTCAATATTTTGGGACACGTGGTCAACTCTCCAACATGTTTTTTCGACACGCAGTCAACTTTTTTCGACACGTGGTCAACGCTCGGACACATTTTTTTTTTAATCTTAATTTTATTTTATTAACTAAAAATAAAAAAATCATTTATAAATCAATTTTTTTCTGTTATGAAATTTGACATGAAAAATTAACGAGGTACGAAAAATAATTTCTGTTTATATTTATGTTATGAAATTTGAATATTTGATTGGTTATATGACTTATTATGGATTGTTATATCTATTAAATATAAATTATATTATATATATTAAAAATATTATTTAATATCAAAATGTGTCCCAACGTATCAAAATATGCCATTTTTTAGAATTAACGTGTCGGCGTGTCATGTCGTGTCCCGTGTCAGTGTCCATGCAACATAGTTAGGTTATACAAAAAAAAAAATTATTATCATTATACCACCCTCTAGGGTGGTATTCTCATTTGCATGGCAAACGACAAAGTGGCTTCAAAGAGTTGTTATTGAAATATCCCTGATGAACATCGATTCATGGCAAAAAAATTTATTTATTGCAATTTAATTAAATAATTACGCAAATATCACAGTTTGAGAAATATTTACGCATTTACTGCACACTGTGACGCCCCACTGGGGCGTCTCTCATGAGAGGAAGATGCCCAAATGGGGCGTCTCTCATGAGGTGGTGACACGTGTCACTTGTTTTTCCAAAAAAAAAATTTAATTTAATCATAAAACTTCTAAATGCCATAACTTTTGACTCGAGTTTCCAAATCAGGTAATTCTTTTTTTGATTCCACACAACTTTTCGAGATCTAAGCAATGACATCTCATTTGACATATTTTATTTCTCACAAACACAATTTTAATTTGCAAGAATGGTATTATAAGAGAGGTTAAACCCAGAAGCCTCTGAGTTCTGGATTTGTGATTTAATATAAAAAAATAAATAAAATTTTTGATTTGTGATTTAAATTTTTTGTATAATAATTTTCTTTATTATAACAAAATTTTGGTTTGTGATTTAAATTCAAAATAAAAAAATTTATTATTAATAAGGAAAACAAAATAAAGATTTGATTTGTGATTTAAACTAAAAAATCAATTTGAAAAATCTGTAGAAATAAAGAAAATAATTAAATAAATATTATAAATTTCTAAGGAAGAAGGATATTATTTTTAAAATTAATGATTAATGCTATAAGCTTCTGGGTTATTATTCGTGGTCTGAAATTAATGATGGCTTATGAATGTTTTTCAAAAATAAAATTACCTAAATTAGGCGTAATTTCCTCTTGATTGAAACCCAATTTAGACGTGATTGGTGATGTATTAGGTTTTGACAAGTGTTGACACGTGTCACATTTTTAAACTCAGAAGCCTCTGAGTTCTGCGTTTGTGATTTAATACAAAAAATAAATCAAGATTTGATGTGTGATTTAAATTAAAAAAAATAATTTTTTTTATTTTTGATATAAAAAATTTGGTTTGTGATTTAAATAAAAAGTAACAATTATTATTAATAAGGAAAACTAAATAAAGATTTGATTTGTGATTTAAACTCAAAAAATCAATTTGAAAAATCTGTATTAATAAAGGAAATAATTAAATAAATATTCTAAATATCTAAAGAAGAAGGATTACCTGATTTAAATTTAAATTATGTTGGTGAGAAATAAAATATATTAAATGAGATGTCATTGCGTAGATCTCGAAAAGTTATGTGCAATCAAAAAAAGAATTACCTGATTTGGATACTCGAGTCAAAAGTTATGGCCTTTACAAGTTTTATGATTAAATTAAATTTTTTTTTGGAAAAACAAGTGACACGTGTCACCACCTCATGAGAGACCCCCCATTTGGCGTCTTCCCCTCATGAGAGACGCCCCACTGGGACGTCACATGTGACGCCCAAAAGGGACGTTACAGTGTGCAATAGATGCGTAAATATTCCTCAAACTGTCATATTTACGTAATTATTTAATTAAATTACAATAAATAAATTTTTTTGCCCTATATTCTCAGTAATTGATTTTTCTAGTCAATTTTTTTCTTCTTCTCTACCAAACGTCTCGAGTTTGAACGTTATTGCCCCGTGTTATTAATATAGGACCACGGAGTATGGACGGGTTTGGCCCTTGCCTATAATTTTTTCTTAAAAAAAATAAATCATGGAATACAATATAAAATAAATGGAAAAGGATTCATTTATAAATTTTTTTATAAATTACACTATGTACTTCCGTAAATACATAGTGTAATCTAGGAGTACATAATATAGTTTATAAGAATTTATAAACAAAAAATTTGTAAATATAACTCTCTCAGGATAAATACATATATCCTCACCTAACCTAAATTTTTGGATAGCTTGTTTGGTGACACAATATTATGAGACGCTATATTTAATTGGTCTAGAGACATAAAAGGCGCACACACAAAATTAGTTACTTTCTTGTTTCTTAGCCACAAAAGGGTTTGTGGTGATCATAAAGTATAAATATATGTTATGGATGAATACCATTTATTTCAAAAACTTATTCTTTTCGAGTTGAGAAGATAACGGGTAAAACCATTTTTTATAGAATTTTTATTGCAGAGATTAAACTCCAATCATTTCTCCAATATATGCAAGTCGCTATTATTAGGAATGTGTTTTGATCAATCAACTTGGAAAATCGACCCAAAACCAACTGCTGGTTCATGTAATTAGATAAAACCTTATCAAAATCCAAATCACAATGATTCAGACCTTGGGTTCCTGACATTGGACCCAAACGACTAGAGAGTAGAGACCCGACCCATTGACTCTTTTTAATTATGTATATCAGGCAGCATCTCTACTCTGCTTCATATTTTGAGTCCTTCAAAGACTAATTTTCATGCAAAAGTTGTCATATTCAAAGGATTAATTTAATGTTATGTATATATTTGACTATTGTCATTTAATTTAATTTTTAAGTATATGACCAATTAATCAAGATATGCATAATGTTTCAAGTTTCAACTGTGGCCTTTGATAAATTAGGAAAGACATACACGTAAAATTGGTTGTATGTAACATACGATGCTACACTTTTATTGCTTTGGTGAAGTATATATGTAAAGGATCGATTTTGTTCACTATTGTTTATTCCTACAAATCCCACACAAAAGATATTCAAAGCCAAGGAGAGTTGTAAATGGGAGTTACAACAGATTTAACTTGTAGATACTTGTGTAGGGCTTCTAATCCAAAGTCTCTTCCAAATCCACTCATCTTGTACCCTCCATAAGGAATATCATTCCCAAAGGCAAAGTAGCAATTGATCCAAACAATCCCTGCACGAATGGACCTAGAAACAGTGTTTGCTGTATCCAAGCTCTTAGTCACAATGCCTGCTGCTAAGCCATATCTGGTATTGTTAGCACTCTTAATTGCTTCCTCAATAGTCCTGTTGTTCATTTATCATCCCCAAGTTTAGTATTCATGAACAAACTAACTTTTTTCTTGGTTACTACTAGGATAACAAAAATAATAATAACAAATAAAATTAACTTACTTAAACTTCATCAGTGCCATCACAGGACCAAAAATTTCATCCTGTGCTATAAGCATGTCCTCCTAAACAGGTTATTATGAATTAAAAAAAAGAAGACAATATGATGGTTAGTTATCTGAATACTCTGAAGGCACCCTATTTGATACTTTTGTGGAGTTAAAATTCACCTTAACATTGGAGAAAATTGTAGGCTCAATGTAGTAACCCTTGTTGCCCACTCTATTACCCCCTGTCAAAAGAGTGGCCCCTTCTCTCTTTCCATGCTCAATGTAAGAAAGAATTTTTTCAAATTGCTTCTTGTCAACCTACAATAAGAAACTGTTAACCAACACAGGAGGATCATAATTACTAGTATCATTTCTGTTTCTACAAGCAAACAAGTGCAGTGCTTGACATACAATAGCTAAAGGGTTACTAGAAAACAACTTTAGATATGTTTTTAGAACTATTGTAGATATAATTGTGCAGCTATGTTCATACCTGAGGCCCTTGCTGAACTTTGGGATCAAAAGGATCCCCAACTACCCAAGCTTTTGCTTTCTCCACCAACTTCTTCTCAAATTCATCATAGATTCCTTCCTGAACAAACACACGGGAACCTGCAACACAAATTTCTCCCTGAAATTATACAAGAAAGGGAAAAAAAAAAAAAACACCATTAGAAGATGTATGTATAATTGGGTTGCTTTGTAAAATGGATAATGGGATTTCCTGAAAGAAATTTCACCTTATTGAATAGGATGCCCAAGAGAGCAAGCTCAGCAGCTTTATCTATATCAGCATCATCAAAAATCAGGAGGGGTGATTTGCCTCCTAATTCAAGTGAAACTGGTTTCAAATTACTCCTAGCTGCGGCATGCATTACTTCACGGCCTACTTCTGTTGAACCAGTAAAGCTGACCTATATACATACACAAGCACAATCAATGCAATTCTACCACTCTTACTTTAAATCATGGTACTTCCAAATGTTTGACATATATGTTACCTTATCAATTTCCATGTGTGAACTTATTGCAGCACCTGCAGTTGGGCCAAATCCAGGTACTACATTGAGCACCCCATTTGGAATTCCAGCCTTCAAAAGATAAAAACAAGGAAAACCAATCAGCATAGCTTTAAGTAGTTAATTTGAAAAGGAAATTAAGTATTTGCAGAAAACATACCAACTTAGCTAGATGAGCATAAAACAAAGCAGAGAGAGGTGTTTGTTCAGCAGGCTTGAGGACCATGGTGCAACCAGCAGACAAAGCAGGACCAACCTTGGCAACAAACATGGTGCTAGGGAAATTCCAGGGAATAATGTGTCCTACTACACCGATTGGTTCAAGCAAAGTATATGCATGCAAATCTCGAGCTGGTTTTAATACCTCTCCATGAATTTTATCAGCAGCACCAGCATAATAACGTATAGTACTTGCTGCTCCAGGAATATCATAAGCCTTGCACCATTGGTATAACTTTCCAGCATCAATAGCATCTAATGCTGCTATTTCTTCTATGTTTTGATCAATTAGCTCTGCCCATTTCATCATAATTTTTGCCCTTTCCTGATTAACAAACCATGTCAAGTTTAATATGTTGCAAAAGAGAATTGAAAATTGACAAGAAACATAAGGAAATATTTGGTGTGATGTATAAGGCTTGATAGTGTAAGCTTATACTATACGTTATGACATTTTTATTTATTTGGTGTGACCATCGTATAATATAAGCTTATACAGCAAAACCCCTTAATATATCAAAATGATGTATAACTTAATCAGGCCTAAGGGGGTGTGATCAGGTCTGATAAGGGGTTGATGTATTAATATTGCTTACAAGTACAATTCTCAAAAACTAATATATCATTTCAATATTAATATATTAAAATAATTTTTTTTAATATATTAATTTTTAAAATATTTGAGAATATTATCTTATACAATATCATACCAAACGTTGAATAATATTAAAATTTAATCAGATCTTATACTATTAAGTCTTATTCTATGCTATATACCAAACAGGAAAAACTCCAAGTCATTTCAATCCCTTTTAGTGGTTTTTAACGATAAATTATTTTGAATGAGTGGAATAATTACCAATGTCTAGAGCTTACTGGAGAACTTTGTTACTAAAAGGAACTTAAATACAATTGGTACATGTCTTAAATGTGTGGACCCCGCAAAATCAAGCGTGTGTAGGGCCTGTAGGCTAGCTTGCTCTATCTAATAAATCAAAATATCCCCATCATCCCATGGCATGGACCCAATGACAGTGATCAAGTTGAAGAAATATTTATGTCGCCTTCGCCAGACATTTAATTTGAATTTTCTATACAGATTCTAGAATTATTCATCCCAACTGAATTGTGTCATGTCATGAATAAAACAAATCACACCCTGTTAAACATATTTTTAGGACACTTTTTTTTAAGGGAAGACCCAGAGGGGGCCCCACTGGAAGAAAGTCGATGGTAAAGAGTGCACAACATAAATCAAATCATACCCTGTAAACATATACTTTCTAATCTGCTTTATATTTTCAGCACTGAATTTTTACATACTTAGATAAATAAGGTCTTGAGTTAATATATAAATTACTTACATGGACTGTTTATTTTCTCATGCGTCTTAAATTAATGTATGCAAAATTGGGAAACGTGATCCTATGGTTGAGTAGTTCCCTTCCTTTTGGGGCTTCAGCCTGGTTTCTTGTATGCAGGGTCCCACATAAGCTGTACAAAACTGACGGAGAGGAGAAAAGTTTTTGTGGCTCCTCAAGCACAAAAAAATTAGTGATCCTCTTTTGTATTTTTATTACAAAATTAATTTTATTTTTATTTATGTTCCAAATTTTTTAAAAGGGACCATTGAATTTTTGTGCTCCTTAGCACAAAAACTTTTTTTCGACGGAGAGATCCAAGAACAAACAGAAAGACAAAAACGGTCAACGCTATCATATAATGAGGCTGTCTAAAATTTGTCGGATTTGTTTTATATGCATCATTATCATTATTAAATATCTATCTGTATATGGGAACGATAACAACGGTATAAGAATTCAAAATCTTATACCAAATATGAATCAATAATTTACTTATATTTAATGATTTAAATATATAATAAATCAGAATTGTTAAATATAAATAAAATCAACGATCAAGATTAAAAATATAACTTATACTATTATAAAATGATCATGTTCCACACATATATATATATATAGGGTAATCTGAGTGCACCGAATTTATATGTAGTATATCTAGATTTTGGTACTAATAATATTTTTTTAAAGTATATGTTCTTATGATTTTATATTATTAAATTTTTAAAATTTTAGAAATAATATTTTAATAAGTTAAACTATAAATGCAATCATTCATAAAAAGTAAAAATAATTTACTTTTTATAAATAAAAATATACAAATGAAAGTTCAAATGAATAAAAAATTATAACAATCAATACTCAATAGCAAAAATAAAAAAATTAACTAAATAAATAAAAATTCAAATCAATAAAACATATAGTGATTAACATCTAATTTAAACCATTTGTTTATGCTGTCACTGCATGGGTTGAGTCGATTGGTCCAATACATTGAGTATAGAGACAAAGCTTGAATTATACCAAGAAAAGTCCATTTCCAAGTATATAAAATAATATTACCGTCGATTGGTACAATCAGGATTACATGTTTCAAGGATTGAATTCCTCAAAACTTACACAACAATTTCAATGTTACTCATATGTTTATACAACAACTTTAATATAAGCCGGCATAATTTAAGGTGACTGCATGTTTGCATCAATATAATATTATTTATTTGAATGATGTCTCTAGAAAAATTAAAAAAGCTCTAAAAAAATCAATCAATTCACCTAATTATCAAATAATTAAACAATTGTACGAATTGATAAACCACTTATTGTTATTCGATTTCCTTCAAATCCAATAATGCATCATAACACATATCAAGTTGGTTAAATTAATTTCGAATAAATCCAAAACTACGCATGTGTCAACAAAAAAGAAACCTATGCATCGTGCCAAGAAGGAGGCTTACTTAAACAGCAACTAGGAAGAAAAAATCAAAACTGAACAGCGATAATATATAATATTTATGAGAACTTAATTGGGATGGAAAATCAAATAAAACTGTGGAAGCATTTAAAAAAGAATGAAAATAGTTATTGAAAGAGAAGAAATGATAACATACAGCGCCGGGCATGCGTGGCCATGGACCATTGTCAAAAGCAACACGTGCCGCTTTCACAGCAACATCAATATCTTCCTTTGCTCCCTCTGCTATCCTTGCAATTACTTCCCCTGTTCTTGGATCTATTGTCTCAAACTCTTTTCCTGTTTTTCAATTTTTATATAAAATAAAAAGTAAAAATAAAAAACGCTTAAGCACAAGAACACAAAAAGGTTTTAACAATTTTTAGCACTTGGATGTTTCATGTTAGCTCTCTGCTCCCATTTTCGACCCTTTATTTTTATATTTTCCAACTTAAAAATACAAACTATATAACAAAATTCACTTTATCATGAATATTAATATTTGTTGCATACTTGCATGGTTGAGAATAAAGATTGAGACAACCCTTATCTCGTTATCTATTCACCGCTTTACTCTAACCACTTAACCTATTCAACATAGTTTTGAATTTCATATCGATCGTCATCTATCTTTGGAACTACTAACAAATGATATTTGGCCTAGTGAACTATATATTATTTTACTTTCATGGGAAAAACATAGGGAAATAAACATAGAAGGATGGAGAAACAGAGAAAGAAAAATATTGAAACATGGAATGAAGGGAAATAAAAAGGTAAAGAAAGGAGAGAAGATGTTTAATTTAATTTAAGAACCTGAAATGGAGTCAACAAAATCTCCATTGATGAAGAGCTTGGTGAACTTGATGGTGGGGATGTTGAAGGATGAAGCGGCGAGGCCATTGGAGAGACCAGACATGTTTGTGTGCGTTAGCTAACGAAGTAGACAGAGAGAGGAACACGAGGTAACTTGTAAGTTAAAGCTTTGATTTTGGGAAACATGTGAAGGGGACTTATTTATACACGTAACAAACAACAGTGACAAGAACAACGAGTTGACAGAGGCACGTAAATATTAAATTTTATCTTCTCTTTTTAAAATATTTATAAAATTCAAATAGAGTTTTACTTCATCATCATTTATAAATAAAATAAGATAAAAATATGTGTCATTTTAAAAGAAACAAACTTATGTCATTTTAAGTGAAAGATATTTTTTTTTTGTCTTTATTTTTTAGTGAGATTTACATATTTTTCCATTTCTATAAATTTATGTCCTTTAAATGACACCTACTCTTCTCATAAAATAAATACAAATTTCACGAGATGTAATCCAAGTAAATTTTTTATCTATATAAAATATGATACGAGAAATAAAGAATCCTTTTATATGTAGACTTAATCTTGAAAATCGACACACACACAAGATCATAAAACAAGAAAAGAGAGAAAAAGGAAGAGAAAAATTACATAATAATTTTGGTTCACTTAATGTAGGCTATATTCAGTTTGTCAATGATTTACTTGTTTTACTCAATGTAGGTTATGTCCAATTTGTGCGTACTATATTAATCTCAGTGACACTTTGTTACAAGTCACTAAGTTTATAAGAAAATATAAATAGAATTTAAAAAATTTAACAGTAGCTATTCATAAGGCGTACACACTATTAAAAACGGGATAAATACAATAACTCAGCAATGAACACGACTCAATTGTCTTTTTGTTAACCCCGCTAACAAAGATAGTTATCTGAATGTGAAGTATGAGTTATAACTAATATTAGTTATACCAAACACTTAGTATGTCCAATTTAAGTATATTAAAAAATATGATATTTTTTAATAAATATTAATTTTATTAATAAATTTAGTATATTCAAATTAAAAATACTAAGTTTATTTAGAATTTTTTATGGTATACGAATGAGCTTTTTTTTGCGGGGCCTGTACACTCATCAGATCGCGTACTTACCAATGAGAATAAAATTAAATAACATTCATATTTTGTGTTTTGTTAAAAACTATTTATCGTATTTATTTTTTAAAGAATATTAATTTTTAAAATTTCAAAATATTAAATTTTAAAAAAAAAAATTAGTACTCTTTTATTTCTTGATCGGTATCTTAAGGTTATTAAAATTTTAAAAATTTCTCTTTCTAAGAAAAACGATAAAAAGATGAACAGGCAGATTTGAAGTAATTAATTGATTATCTACCAATAATAATGAGATATAGATTTGCTGAGTATAATTTATATTTTGTATACATATGATAATTTTTGTTGACGGGTTTTGGGAGGTTAGATATTATTGTGGGCTTTAGTTTTTGTGTGTATGTGGTAAGTATTTTTCTTCTTATTTTTAATACTTTGAACTTGATATTATGAACAACTACTATTATTTAGAATTTTTAAGTTTATTTATATTTTTCTTATAAATATAATGCTTTGCAATAAGTGCTACGAGAAAAATACAATTAAACATTGTTGAATCCCATTAGGTAAATTAAGATAAATCTTTATCTTCCCCTTCTATCTCTTTGTTTTGCGATGATATGTTCAAGGGATGTTTGGTAGAGGAAATTTTTTTTTATTCGAAAATCTAAATTTTCAAAATTATAATATCTAAAAATTAAAAATTTAAAAAAATAAATCTTAAAAATTTCGCGTAGCAAACCGGCCCTTAGGAATTTATAAATATCCTGTAATGGGAAGAAAAGTGACTTTTCAGCAGAGACATCAAAACTCGAGCTTCATTTAAAAAATAAAAAACCAACAGACTCCGCATAATTTGTTTCTACCGCATGACAGATCGCATATCCTGTTACAAGATACTTATAAATCCCGTGGGGTAAAACGAGAGCTATGTTCCAAGGAAAACATAAACATTTCGTGTTGACACAAAATAATCGATGGGTCCACATGTTTTTTAAAAAAAAATAAATAAAAAACACAAAAATCAATGTATCAGCAAGACAAATTTTTGGTTTTCCTCGGTTATAATATAGGGAAATTATACTTTTACTTTACATAAGATTCAAATCTCATGTTACACTCACATAAAAAAATGTGTCTCTCTCTTCTTCTTCTTTTTTTAAAAAATTGATGTACCACACTTAATTTATCTCACAACATAAAATAATTTCTCTCATACAACATGAGAGAAGTAAAACCCTATAATATATCACCTTCTTAGAATTTGGAGAGAAAAAATGGGTCAACAATTTTGTTCTAGGATTATTAGGTATAAATGAGCTGAGTCGAATTAGATTTTGGCTTAAATAAATTAGACTTGTGTAAAATATTTTAAATCTGATTTGATCTATTAGCTTAACTTAGACTAAAGTCTGGCATGGCATATTTTTAAAATCTAAAGATCTGGCCTTAGCCGTTATCTTGTGTAAATCTATTATTTAAAATTATTTAAATAATAATTTTATTTATTTAGAATAAATAATATAATATAGGTCAGTTTATAGGCCGGAACTTATAAAAGAAAACTGGTGACTTATTTTCTAAATACACTTTTTTAAAGGCTTAAAAGTGTTCTATTTTACGATATATAATAGGCCAAGCCTAACTTGATATAAGCTGAGCCGTAAGCCCTTAATAGACCGTTTGTCTATTTACACCCTTTACTTATAACCAATGTTAATAAAATTGGATCGGTCCGGCTAGGTCGACCAGGGAACTGGTAAACCAGTCATATAACCTTTTGAGTGAAGCAACGAACCGGCCGTGCATCAAAACTAATGTGACGCGGCCGATTTTTGTGAAAACCATGACCTGGTCGGTTAACCAATGACCCAGCCGGGATCCAAAAAAAATAATAATAATCATAATGAACATATTTGAGTATTTTTTTGCTTATTGACTTACATAGGTTATGTACCTACAATACTAATATTATCTCAATTATGCATTATGCAAGAAAATTTGATTTGATTTATAATTAAAGATGTCTTTTATTGAACCTGAAACCCGTATCACGATTATTATTTTTTTATTTGATCCTTTATTGGATAATAATGTGTGATTTATTATTTTTTATATTAAAATATTTGAAATTTTTATCATTTTTTTAAATATTTGAATATGTTTATAATTTTTAAATATAAATTATAGAATTGTGTATAATTACCGGTCATGCGGTTAAACCAATGATCCACTGGTTGAACTATTAACCCAGTACCTCAATCGAGTCAATGACCCAGCAACTTATAATTTTTTTTATTTTTTTGAGAACACTTTTAATTTATTATTATACTAGCTAGCATTTACCTTTTTTGTTTTTTGTTTTAATTATCATGTGCATGTAACGTGTAACACGAAAATTATAATCTTATAGGATCAGCATTGAAATGGGAAAGAACCTAACCTATTTACGATTTAAAGGTTGAACCATAATGGATTTAGAATTTGTGATAATTAAATAAATATATATATATATGTATAACTTTAATATTATATAAGATATTAATTAATAAATTAACATGACATTACAAGAAATGAAACTGGGAACAATTTTAAAATAATATAGAAAGATCTTACTGTATATCTTACAAAATAAAAAATGGTTACTAATTTGACCTCTTCTTTGATGAGGCAGTCGTCAAGTTTATTCGGATTGAATTCGTCAATTTTTCGATAAATCTAACTAATCCGGTGTGACTTTTAATACAGTAATTATAACAATTAAATAAAAGAATAAAATGATGTGTGTATCAAGGTTTTAATTTAATTTCATAAAAGAAATTGTTATATTTAAAAATATCATATAATTTAATTTATTTATTTATTTATTTACATAAAACAACAACTAAAATTAAATTATACATTTACTAAAATTGGTTATTTTAATATTTAGATAACATAATTGTTAAAAAAATTATATTCAATAATATTTATGTAAAAATTTTACAGTAATTTATATAAAATTATCCTTGTCAAAGATATATATATATATATATATATATATATATATATATATATATATATATATATATATAATGATTATATACATTACAAGTTATATTTAAAAAACTAATTTTTCCACTTTGAACCTCTATTTTCTTCCACTATGAAGCATTTGTGGTCCACTATATGGTATTGCTGGTAGAAAATTCATTAAAAAATGAATTTTACTTGTGACGTAATTATAAGAGGGGAAGACGTTTGATAATAGACTGAATTAGTTTTTCACAAAAAGATTAGTACAACTTGACTTTACAAATAAAAAATCAATTTATTTATAACGAGATAATGAAATCATGTAACATCATCCAATATTAAAGATATTACAGAGTAAATATGCTTTTAGGTCCCTAATAAAAAGTACAGTTCCCATTTTAATCTTTTATAAAAATAAATTAGTCTCGAGGTCCCTAAGAAATTTAAAATGGACTCATTTAGTTAAAATCGTGATTCCTCACAAATTCAAAAAAGATCCACATTAGTCCCTCAAAAGGATTAAAATGGATCAACTTTAAATTTTATAGGGACCAGATGAATAATTTCTTTTAATAAGAGACTAAAGTGGGAACCGTATTTTTTATCAGAAATCCAAAATAGTATTTACTCGTTATTATATGCCTCCGTCATTCATTATTGGTCCAATTGTATGATTTAAAATTTTGTTATATATGAACCAGAAACATTAGTTATTCCATTCTATAGTCAGATGCTGCATATCAATTTAATAAGAGAAGTGAGGAATTGTTATCATGATAGGATAAAAATTTAGGAATGAACACGTTTAGTTGAAGTAAATATTAGGATAAATATGAGAAGTGAGGAAATGCAAATTGTGTATCTCGCTTTGACTATTTCTTATGGTGAAACACGTATAAGACGATTCAAATCCGATAATTATATATCAATTTTTTAACTTATTGACGACGAAACAAAAAGTACAAACAATAGCTGAACACGAAATGAGTTTGGTCAAAGAGAAAATATAGCTAA